GCAATCAAAATGCATGGATGAGTGAATGTCGAAAATCAAGTTTATTTGCTGTGATTAAGTGAAATCGGCCTTTTGTGAAATCCTTGTCAATAGCCAAACAAACACATAAACATAAATTCGCAAATATTAGTGCCCTCGCACGCACACACACACACAATGCTGTATATTTTATCTGGCATTCAATGGCACTGAATCGTTTGAAATCGATGATGATAGTAAAAACAAAGTGTGGAACGAATGTTCGTATCAAATCGTCCGAGCGACCTGAATACCGTTCTGTATGTGAAACGACACATGAGTAGTATAGTTTAGCGTCTAGATAAATATGTATACAAAAGTATCGATAGGATCGGGACACCCTTAAAAATTCGTCCAGTAAAATATATGGCGACCCCAAAAGCCCCATTGATGGATGAGAGTGCAATAAAAGTTATGGCTTTGGTAGTAAATTTTTCTCTCTCTCTCTCTCTGTTCTTTTCTTCGGCCTCCTCACCATTTTCATTTCATTTTTGTCGAAATCATGTTGTATTTGGTTGGTTTTGTTTTGTCATTGCCTGACATGGAAGCAAATATCAACAAACTTACGAAAATCCAAAACGTCGATTACACCGGCCAAACCAAACCGATTTTTATTTGAACCGATACGAATGCAATAATAATAGACAAAGTAGCAGTTGTATGTTTGTAGATGGATAAATGGATGATTCGGCTGTGATTTCCTTTCGAATCCGATTTTAGTGGAAAGCACCGTAAACAAACGACCGAGATAAACAAACAGAAAAATTTGTAGCACGGACCGAGTGAGAGACAGAAAAAAAGAAAAATGATGGATATTTTTCGCAGTGGATGGACATTTTTATGGACACACTCAAAACATCATTCGTATATCGAATTGAATGTGTTTATGTGTCATACTGAAAACCAAAAATTTCATCGAGAAAATACCAAAAAATGATTCTATTATTATAGCTGAAGAGTGGACGACACCAATCACAATAGAAAGAGCATTCGCCCATTTTTACGACGAATTGCGTTGGATAAAAAAACGAATGAAATGTGATGCGTCACAGCGAACTTGAGCTGATCGGTTCGTCATCGGCCTTGTTAACATAACAACTTGAGCTGGACAACTTTCACTTAGCATTGAATTGAATTTCGAATCAGGACCATTTTATCATGTATCCTCTTTTTTATGTATCGATTTGTCTTTTCTTCTTTGGCATTTATGTTTATCCATTCACATGTGTTCGCAGCACAAACTCATGACAATGAGCTTATTTTCTTTTGAATGGCACAGTATATTGGCTACGTTGTGTGTTCATATAGTCTATGGAACCGCATTAGCTATCCGCACAATTAGTACTTCGACGCAATAAATATTATCAATAGCGTATACGAATTTTCGTAAACCGATTTCCCCAACCAAAATGTAATTAGAGTCAATAAATATGTCAAAGCATTATTATTTGTTAGTCTGCCAACCAATAAAATTTATTCATTTTTTTTAGTACAACACTATTCTCATCGTTACTTTGATAACACAATTTAGTCGGATACTTTATGCTAACCAATGTCTCGGGTCACATTTTTTTATGTGCATTTGCTCTCTATCTTCATTGCAATTGGTAACATCGCATTAAATCAATTTTGTGGTGAATTCGAAATAAATGCGACATAAATTCCACAATAATGATGTAGAAAACATCGACTCAATGAACATTAGTCTTGTTTGTCTGTTTCGAAGTGACTAAGTCGAATTATAAAGCCACCAATAATACTTAGATAGTTGCGATAATAATTAATGACCTTCAATGTGGCTTTTCGAGGTGAATTGTTGTAGTTGTGTGTGTGTGTCAAATCGATTCAATCCTCGAGTGAATTCTTTTGCATCGATCGATTACATGGAGAGACGAGATCCGGAAACGAAACGAAAGAAATAAAGTTTGAATCGAACGACATAAAATGTTTCTTAGAAGTTGAAAATCGAATTGCGGAAATGGATATAAAGCAAACCTGTTTCCATTCGTATCGATTTTATTCGTTTTGGTGTTGTTGTTGTTGTTATTGCAAAGTGCATTTGCCATTGCATTCGATTTAAGTCAGTTGATAAAGTAGAAAACATGCGATTACATATAAATAGGAAGTTGAATGGAATGATTTGTGCACAATGTGTGCGATGCCATATCGCAAGCAACAAAGGAGCAAGCACACAGCACCAACACATAAAATTGAACGTAAAATGCAATTTGAAGAAGAGAGTAAAAATAAAAACAATAAAAGCGGAAAAATGAAAATGAATGGCACAAATGTAGTAGTACTAGGATGCTCATTGTAATAACAACGGCGGCAGTCGCACAAATGCAACCAAGTATAATTCACAATTGAAGAAAATTCCAATCCATGGCAGTTACAAGAAACGATTCGCGCCCGCACCACCGTACACACATTATATTTTACAATTGTGAATTCATTGCGATATAACGATGCGCCCGTTGTTACAGTCATCTCCAACATTTGTATAAATTGCAATGCCACCAACACCGATTGAACGATGGTACAGAAGTGAGTGTGTGCCAAGTGAACGAGAGAAAGCGAAACGAAGAGGATGAAATAAACTAAACATATTTCATTGAAGTTAGATAATTGTCAGATTGTAGATAGTTTTGTTGCATTTTGATCGCTCTCCAACTGCTTTGCACTAACGATTCTACATTTATTCAACACAAAATGTGTCAGGTCAATCCAATACCATTGCACATAGACAAAGTTAAACATGTTTAGCACAAAGACCATTCATTATGCTTTATTTTCGAATTGGTTCTCTGCCACTCTTATTCTCAGAAAGAGACTCGCAAAGGAAATTACTCTTGTATTATGTGTGTCTGCAAGTAAATTCAAGATGGGAACTAGTAGGTTTTATTTATCCAGTTACTCTGGTTAGAATTATTTGAACAATGTTTCAATTCATGCCCCGGAAAATACAATTTTAACTGGAAGAGAAATGATCAAATATCACTTTTTGCGGTTCTTTTATTAATATTTAATGATAGTGTTTTTTCATACATTTTAAATCAATTCTTTCAACTTGTGTGAATTATGTTGAAATTGAGTTTTATTCATTGTGGAATACTAAATGTTAAAGTCTTTAAATATTTATGATCATTTGATTTTCAATAAAATCAAAGTTTTCCAGGAAATTTGACGCAGTCAAAATATACTTTTCATCTCACAATCATAAAGTTCTTCTATCAATTTGAAATGGGCGAAAACTTGACATCGTCAGTTATCAACACGAATTAATAATAAAGTTTCGAATATTTTGGGCAATGTTTGTGGTGTGGCATTTTAGATGCAAGTTTTGAAACCAGTGACCATAAAGACAGGTGTAATATTACTGCATGAGTACCTAATTGAAATTCGAATCATGTTTCTATTGAATATTCAATATGATTTTCTCATTTCATGATTTCCATATCTGAATTGGATTCGTTTGCCATAAGTTTTCGTGTGAAAACTTATCCAAAAACTGTCGAGGTCAAAATTTGGAATATGATTGACGATTGAATGGCCATTTTAATAACAAGATATAAAAAGAGCTTGATTGAACCAATACAAAAATGTGTTGATAAGAAAAAAGCGGGCAATTTGTGGTGTAGAGAAAGTCCCATGATTAAATCGAATCGATAAAATTGTCATGTCGAACATTGGTCAACTTTTGTGATTGATTAGATTATATCGAGAGAGAGAAAAACTGTTATCACCAGTTCGATTCGAGAAAAAACCACCAATTTCTTTTGTTCTCATAAACAATAAGAACAAACACGCATTAAGAGTCATTTGTTGAGATATTAAATTTGTTGGAAACAATTTATTAAAATCAATTGATGAAACCAAGCAACAAATTTGCAGATCCGTTGCCGTTTTACCTCTCTTTCTCTCTCTGTGTATTTTTGCACAGATGCATAAAGAGTGAAAACGAAAGAAGAAAAAAAATTAACAAAATTGACTGCTGTGCCAAGAACGATAGATGAAGTATCTCGCCCGAGCGTAATGTGCTCGTTAGCAGAACCAATGGACGTTCTTTTTTTATTCATCGAGACGGTTGTTTGCGTAAAATGTGCTCTATGAATGAATGTGTGAATTCTTGAGTAGATCAAATGTATTGTCTTTGACAGCGATTGAAATGCAACTGATTCGAATTTCGAAGTACGATTACATTAAATAATAATTCGTGTGATTTCGGTCCAAGGAAAATGGTCATATCATTTCCCCAGTTTTAGTTCGGAAAACCGAATGGTAACCGGCAGAATATGGATAGAGCTTGATTTGCGCATCATAACAATTATTACACTCTCAAGCTTCCAAACGTCATCGGTTTACTCTCTGAAAATGTGAGCGTCAAATCGATACCATTCTCCAGTTAAACGTTCAACTATACAGCGCATGCGTTGCCAATTGAACGTTAACGATGAATATGTGACTCCCGATGCCGGTAAAAAACCAAAACATTGTGACGCTACTGCACAACCATATGACATGTACGAGAGAGAAAAAAAGTGTGAGAGCACAAGACACTCTCTCCCGAAACGGTTTGCGTTTGCCGTTGCGGCTCGATTTCGAATGCGTCGTTCGTACACTTGTGAATGACATTGATGGTGCGGCGGTGTGACTCCAGCACCTTGATAATACGGCCATACATTCGACGAAACATTTTTGCCGGATACATACAGTCAACGCCGTATGATGCATTCGAATCAAACAACACACCACGACGATGGACAAATACCAATACAGTGTGCGAGCGAGACGACTGTGTGTTGCGAATGTCGGCGCACATTGTGAACTTATGAATGTTATTTGTAGCATAGCGGTGGCGGTACAGCAGTACAAGCACCAAGCATCACTTACAGCCGTAACACACAGCGAATTTTACACACCAAACAAAACTGCTTCGAAAATGGAATTCGAATGTGGTGAGTTCAGTGCATGTTTAGCTATCTATGCAAGCGGAGCGACTGATTCTTGAGCGTGTTTTTCACTGATTCTAATAGAAGAAAACATTTATCGTACGTGGTTTGTATCAACCGTCAGCACGTCACGCATGTGTTTATTTGGCAAATATCAAAACGACGAGATAAATTATCATACGAAATGTCTGGTAAATAGAATACAATCCATAATTAAAATTGACATCAGTGATATCATCATCGCAATTCGAATATTTTTTTTTTCTTTCACCAGTACGGTGAAAATCAAGTGACTCAAAACTGGTTAACGCGAAACAAAAACAATTACACATTTGTCTTGTCAAGAATTTGTGTTGATTCAAAACGTGAAATGTTCGAGTAAATTGCTTGAGTTACGTGTATCTTTTTTAATTTTGATCGACGAAAAAAAAGAGCGAAGGCAACGACGACAAGCAGTAAAAGTGAAGTGAAATTGTTAGAGCGCTGAAATAGAAAGATATTCACGAGAAAGAAGCAATCAATTTTGCTACACTATTGCCATTAATGTGAATATTTATTTGCACTTTGCGCTGTTGTAGTTGTTGTTGTTTATTTGTTTGTTTGAGTGTGCAAAGTTACTTTTTTTCGTTGTTGCTACTGCTGTTGTTTGCTGCATGTTCTTTCTCCGGCACATTTTAAATGTTTGAATGTGTGCGCGAACATTAATCAAACACCGTAACATGTAGTGAAGTGGATTACAGTCAAATAAAAACGTATACGAACGAATCGAAATACAGAGAGCGAGAAAAGAGAAAGACAGACATAGCAATAATACGTTCGCAAAAACTGAAAAAGAATATTAATGTTGCTTTGAATCAAGCAAACGAACAGACACACACAGCTACTTGTTGTGAATTGGCTTTGCAAAGCAAAAGGCTAAGTTCAAGCTACGCGAATCGATTGTAAATATTGGCGATGCTTGTCTAAAGACATTTCATATTTGTTTGTGCAAGAAAAAGAACGAAGAAAAAAGTCTCCGGTTAGTATATGTTCGATTGAGCGTAGATTGAAATACACAGAGATTGATAGCAATTGATAGCGGTTTGAAATAAGAAAAAAAAAGAGATGAAGTAAACCGATGAGTGAATAAGTGTGAATTGACATCCCATTCAGTATAAATCATCAAATACGTGATTAAAACATAAAGTTTTCTTTATATTTAACATAAAAACATCGATCGTATTACAAACACGGCAAATGACAGAATCACAACAACAACAAAAATTGTGTCATTTTTATTGCATAAATCATCAATTGATTGCAGTCGTTTAATAATAAAGTGCAAATAAAACCAATCATAATAATAACCAACAACGACCGACAACAACAATTTTCAATGAATTTCATTTATACATTTCAGGCACGACAATTGCTATCGCGGAATTTAATGATTTGAAAGACACACATTTTCATACATTTTTTTTCTTCAAAAGTGAGTCACACGTGAACTGAAGGTGAAACTGAAAATAAAATTGTTATTAAAGAGAGAGAGCAAAACACAATTTTTTTTTCGTTCAACAGTGAATAAAGTTTGATTTCCTATAAAAGTGCTTGTTTTGCGTGAATTTTTTGTTTTCTCCTCTTCACCCATCATCACGATTACATTGAATTTGTGGATGTGCGACAAAAGAGATATTTTTTCGTACTTGAAATCTGTGGAATATTCTCATCGTTCGGTCCATTTCGCCAAACAAAACTCAAAGTATTAAACCGGTATCGAACATCCATATATTTTATATTCCATTCAATAAACCACGTGAATTTACATAGAAAAAGAAAAAGTTTATCTGGGAGAGAGAAAATTGTTATGCGAGTTGGCATTTGTGAGAGTTAAGTGAAAAAAAAAATTGAAGAATAACAATAACCGAAAATAAGTGAAAAAAAAGAAGAATTCAAGAGTGAACTTTATCAAAGTTTGTGTCGATTTTCAGTGAATTTAAAGAACAAATTTTGCACGAGTGCCATTCCAAGTGAACGAAGTTTTCGACATTGAACTTTGTGTGCATTGATAATAAGACGGGAAAAATTGTTAGTCAACATCCCATAGATACAGAGTTGCCATCAAACAATTGCACAAGTAAGTTGTCATTGTTATCAATTTTTTTTGCTACTCTGGTTGATACGGAATTCGGTGGTGCCAGTGATGGCATTGATAATGGTGTGAATTTTTTGACTTTTATCTCAACTTTGTTGGAAGCCGTTTTTCTCCGCAAATGAAGTGTATTTGAGAATTTATTACTTTATTGCCCTGGTTTTTACCTCTTATCAACCATTTAATCTGCTTCTACTTTTGGCTTACCGCTCAAAACTGATGCTCATTTCCATTTCATTGCCATTGTTTTTCGGTTGTATTGTGCATTTTATGACTTTACCTTTTTCCACAAATTTTTTTATTCACTTTGTAGGTATATACGATTGATTTACACATTTATGTATATATGAATGTGAACCTCTGGTAATCTGTTTTAAAAACAAAAACTCTGCTTGTTCTAGAACAAAAAAAAAACATGATTCCCTTTTTTTATTTTCAAATATGATCCTCTCTATTTTACCTGCGTGCTCAATGATCCATTTCGAACAATAAAAAAACAAACGAACTGAAAGGACAATGGAGAGTAAATGCATTGGTGCTTGTTTTCATTTTTGTGTGAGCTCTGTGCTAATGGAAAACGAACACAATTTTGGTGCAACTGCCTGGAATGAAAGGTACAACATCATCATTGTGTATGTTCAGAATGTATACGCATTGAAAACATCGTGTTCGTATTTAAAAAAAAAAAAACAAAAATGTTGGTTCATATATAGATTTCGGGCCACATATGTTTCATCTTGAAACTCTGAATACCAATACAAAATGAAATTAAAACGAGCGAAAAAGAGGCAACACACACACATGTGTGTGTACACAAGAGAGTGCGATGAGGGATGGAACATTGAAAACATTTGTTAGTTGTATAATTAAGTTAGAGAAATGTGTGACATCGACCAAAAATACGACAACCTTTCACAACAAAATTTCACTGAATTTCACCCTTATGCGAAAACTATAACGTAAACAAAATGCTCATTCATTGAAATTCATCGGTCAAAATAGACGTAAAAATATTTGCAATATCATTTGTTGCATCTGCCTCAAAGAATAGCTGCCGATTACGATGGGAATGCATACCCATGGTTGTGCGTATATTTCGATACACTCACTTGAAATTATTCGCAACACAAACGGAATGGCCATAAAGCATCTGAAATTCCCTTGAATGTTTTGGTGACGTAAACAGGCGAATCCAGCGATGCGTAGTATTATCGCAGATGGAGAGAAAGAGATATGGCATGGGAAAAAAGGCAACGAGACAGGAACGATGAAAATGGAAGAAATAACAGAAACTAATAATGAGATATATAAACGGCCGAATGGCAAATTTCAATGGTGTTCGTAGGCATTGTGTAATTTGGTTTCATTTTTTTTTGAAAAGTTTTCAAGTTCAAAAGGTGTTGCTTTGTGTGGTGTGCACATATGCTCTATCAACGTTGTAATGACTTTGGTTTTTATTTCTTTTTCGTCACAAATGGTTTTAAAAATATATATATTTTTTTTATTTCAGAACTCAATTTCGTGCTATTTAAGTAAAGCAAGCATTTGGTAGAAAGAGCAATGGGCGATTCGTTGCGATAACTGTATCATCAGAGTCAATGTAATCGTTTTGCATTCGAAACATTCATTTTGAAGTGTGAAATGCAATTTACGAATAGTCCAAAGTAGACCGTAGAAATATTTAATAGCGCGATAAAAAAGGCACGATGACACAAATGGTCATATCGTTTGCTAGTTCAGGGTTCAAATTCTAAACGAAAATATATTTCCCGAGTATGAGCAATGAGCATATATTAAAATACATTATGTAAACCTACACACGACATTACATATTCTCAATATAAAAACCTATATAGAAAATGAAAACAAAAACAAACCAAAAAAATCGCTTGTGTGTATATAAATATATCGATGCAGAACATAGCTAACGATCGTGTAAAAAGGAACACACGAATATTCAACACATAACACGAACTTCGAATACCGCACAAAGCAACAACGAAGAAGTAGATGAAACGAAAGTACAGCCAAAAACAGAACAGACACCAGAACAAAAATGGAAAAAACCGAATAATCTATAGTTCATTGGTTTCGAACATTTGTGTGCGTGTGTATATGTGTGTTGCATGCGATGCATTTCATATCATCGACAAATCGACTGCACGATGCTATTCCGATGCTCTCTATGCATCTCTCCGTTCTTTCTCGTTGCCCTTTGGTTGAGACGAGAGAAAATTTCAGCGCCGCAAGAAATCTATGCACCAAAACATTCTTCTTCTTTCTGTCATGTAATCACCCGTCCGCTGCCAACCGCCATCACCGCCTGCGCTCACACACCGAAATTCGTTTCCACTAAATTATAAGCGTTCAAGATTACAAACGGTTAAGGCTGAACACGACATTTCACTTATGGGAATGAAGCATCTGTAATCGAGAGCCAAAAAATGTAAGACAGAGAAAGAGAAAAGAAACTATACAAACGCCAAATTATAGTGTCAGTTTAGATGATAATTTTATGGATGGCATTTGTAATTCTCTATTCTCTTTCAATTTTTCATCTTCAGTTTCTTCTATTTTATGTTATTGTGAATTATCACTAGCAAAACGGTACAAAACATGTCATTCATAATCATGCATTTACTTCATAAACACGTTTCACTATATGGCATGCATGACTTGAGCGTTCACAACGTTTCTTATAAAATATACTACTCATCTCTCTCTCGATTTCTCCCGCTCTTTCTTTTACCGAAACTGAAAGCATTGTGTACGATACAATGAACAGCAATCGTTCTTCAAATGCGTTCATACTTAAGACTTTTCTTCATTTATCTTTCATGATTCTTGTTAGTTACAATTTTACGTTTTGCACATTTGCGCATCTCCTCATTCGGCTCAAATACCATGTTTGCCAATCCAAGAACACGGTTGCTTTAGAGACGAGAGAAAAAACACCATTTTCATAAATTACACATCACGAATTCAAGTTTAAACCAATAAACCTTTTTCGGTGGGTGAGTTTGCATCACCGTCTATTCTGTTGTGTTTTGTGTGTGTATCGTGCAGGAAAGAAGTGAATAAGGTTTCTTCTTGAAATGTGAATGTGAGTTTGGTAAAGTGAAGAGAAAAACTAGTCGAAAGATTGAGTTGAATCGCGGTTATGGGAATTTATTCGATCCGAAATTGGCACTTTTGCACTCATTTCAATGCTCTTTGAAAAAACGATTTAATTTTTACTCATCGTTTATTTTCTTTTTTCTCGGTTTTTTGAAATCGGGCCGTATTTTCATTTTCTTCTTCGATATGATGGCGATGATGTGCGCGCCCAAGAGGTAGATAAAAGGTGAGACAACTCGCTCATAAAATCATTATGATTTGGTTCCCTTCTTCATATCCGGGAATGCATCTACTCGGGCTTGGTTATCCTTGTGGAAATACCGATAAACCTTGTACGTTCATAAATAATCGAAAAACGAGGAAAAGAGGGAACCAAATTTAAAGCTCTTTGGAATAAGTTGGCAAAGGTTCAAAAGGTGCTCCATCGAAATTTATCGATGGTAAAATGTGAGGTTTATTATTTATTTTCATTGGTTTTGTATTCTATTGTATCGCAAATATACAACGCGGCTTAGGCCGTTGATCCGAAAACATTCGATCTTGTTATCGGCCCCATTTGTTCTGTTCGAAACAAAAAATAGGGTTTGCCGCATTTTCCATTTTGTATGCTGAAAAAAAGACAATTAAAACCAGCAACCGAAATGTTTTTTTCATCATCATTTATTATATTAAATATATTGAAACAGTCGTCAAAAGGTCCTTCAATCCTTTGAAACATAGCATAGAAAATGTTGGTAAAAAGTCTATGGTGAATGAGATGCAATTGAGATATGTTCCCTTTTTGCGGTACTGTTTGAACATGGCAAGCATGATTTTATCATTGGATTTTTTTCAAGCCCCCGTATAATTGCTACCTGTCCGAATAAAATTTCATTCCGACTTCGTTTGTTCGTATTTAATTAAAAACGGATTTAAGTTTCCGCAGTTACCACACGCATTCAGGCATCGACGAAAAAAAAAATCAACCCGCTATACACATTGCACATAGTTCCTGGGATAAATCAGATGCAATAGCTATTTGTTCCTTTATAGCGGCGTCATCGCATCACACACACATACACTTACGAGCGAAGAAGATTTTCAGTTGATTTAAGTGAGTCGTTCGTTGTTCACGAGAACATATAAATTTAAAATTTAAATGAAATAGTTCCGCTAGTACATAAAATTACATGTGCTGCATCATACTTGCTGGCACAATCAAGAGAACGCAAGCAAAAAGGAGAGCGAATGAATTGTTCGTTTGTATAACTTTTTTTTAACTCCACTACACACAATCAGCGCTCAATTTTCTTGTTATATTCACCGCATAAAACGTAATGCGATCTATGTTTGTTCGCTCTTTTGTACATTTAATGAAAAATTGAGACGAAGTTTTTCTCTCTCTCACTCTCGCTCGCCGACGGTCGTTGCAACATTATACTTTCATCGTGTTTACACAGTATTATGATAGCACACATGGTATTTGTCGGTCGTTTGAATTTGATTACTGCAAGAATTCTGTGGTTTTCATTTGGATATGATTGAATACGCTACATTGCATTCATATAGATGAAATTTACTAAACGCAAAATGAACTCTACAAATGTCACATACATGCAACGGGCAAACGTCTTTGAAACGAGAAAAATCTTCATGTCATGTAACTCGGTCGCCCTTTAAAATAAATGTTCACAATGCATTTAATCGATGAAAGACCATGGTTTTTTCCCTTTCCCCTCACTCTATATCGTTTGTGGTGATGGCATGATTGGACGTGAGAGAGCACGTTTCGCATCGCACCGAGAACAATCCACTTGAGTACATCCTTTTCACTCTTCAAATTACATCGACATCATGGCTAAAACATATGTAATTCAAAATCATCTGGT